GCATTGGGCCTAACAAGACCCACAACTCCCAAAGGGGCCGATACCAAAGAATCAAGAAAAGATGAAACCCTCTTCATTTAAGCATTTAAGACAGCCATAACACTAATTTATTTATTTATTTATTTTTTAAATGGTGACATTCACTTTCTGTTATCATCTCCATTAACAAAATCAGCATTTCCCTTGAACCTGTCCGGTGCAAAATATTTTCTGTAGTAATCTATTAATTAATTGCTCTGTGGTGAAGACATGAGTGCCCCAAGAAAATCCATTCCTAATGGCAGTTGCCCAATACAGTTTTACAGTATGGATGTGCTTTAACCCCTCTGACACTGCTGAGCGTGTACAATCTCGGGAATGCTCCAGAGATTCCGGGAAAAGCCAGTGGGAGCGAGCACAATACCACAGAACAAGAGCAGGGGTATGAGAGGGCAGGGGAGGCCTGCCCGGTGTGTCAGTCTCCTCCTGTGCCAGCTGGCTCCCACAGACTATTTCCAGCCCTTTTCACAAGCAGCCGCCACCCCCATAATACCCCACTGCTGCAGCTGGGGCAGAGACTCAGAAATACTCTGAAAACAAGACCCCCACCCCACGCACCCACACTCTTCCTTGCAGGACCCTGGAGTGGAGTCCCCCTCTGCTTGTGCACATCCATTCCCACCATCTCTGCTCCTCCGCTGCACACAGATCCGGCGCAGGGCGGCCGGAGGGCAGGCCACTTTGCAAGAGCCTCACTTGGTCACGCTTTCCCACTATCTGTCCAATTTCTCTTTCCTCTCCCTCTCCCGCCACAAGCGTCAGACCCCCCTGGATCCCCACGGCTTTTAACCACAACCCAGGAAATGCCACGGGAAAGGCAGAACCCGTCAAGTCACATCCCACTGGCTCCAGAGCGACTGGTCGCTTTCGTTGCCGAAAAACCCTCCAAAAGAAAACTACAAGAGGATCCACGCCGGAAAAATGTCTGCAGCTTCTGCCAAGGTCATCTCCTTGAGATCGCGTCTGAAGTGGGACCCCGATTTGCTTCACCATGTTCTTAGGGACTGGCCACTCCTGATCCTGCAAGGTCAGATGGCATCTCCGGGTTTTCATTCCCACTCGGCTGTTAATGAGCGCAGTCAGCTCGTTAACGGGTAAACTGGACCAATTCAGCAACTTCTCCAGTCTTCCAGTGTTTCAAGCGTGAAATAGAGAGACCTTAACACAAGTTCATTCTCTCAAAAACACATAACACACAGTATCAACCCATGACTCAACAAGAACAGTGCAGTCAGGACAAGGTGGCAAATTGTTTTATCATTTCACATGATGTCTGAAATACTAGAGTCTAACGAACCCCCCAGTACAAGTGGTTGTAAATTAAATTATTCCTTAGTGAGGGCGTTCCCAGTCCCTGTCTTAAAGACCCCCTACACCTGCTGGACTTCATTACTGCCAAGTTCTTAACCTCAACAGATTGCATGACTAGAACCTGTCAAGTTCTTTTTTTCTATTCAAAGATTTAATATCTCACACGTTTAGTGACAGCAAACCTAAGAGTTTAAATGAAAGCTATATTACTAGGTCTGTTAAGGTCTTTATTATGAGTGCCCAGGCGGGAAAAAAACAAACAGGTGTGTGGTTATCCCACAACCAGTTCTGAGAACCCCCAGGCTGATAATTACAAACTGCTGACTTAAGGGGCGAGACCTGCTGGATGGGGGCTCTCCAGGACCAGTTTTGAGAACCCCCAGGCTGATAATTACAAACTGCTGACTTAAGGGGCGAGACCTGCTGGATGGGGGGCCTTTCAGAACCAGGGTTGGCCACCTCAGCCCTGGTACACGTACATTCTAGTGAAAGGGCCCAGGCTGTCCTTGTGCTTGGTGTGCAAACCGGTACCTCTCCAGAGCAACACGACACCCGTTCTTCCAGCGGGGTCACTTGACGCTATTTACAGCAGGGCCGTCCCACTTGGGGAGCTCGAATCTCTTGGGAGGCGTTAAAGATGAGCAAACGTGTCCCTGGAGAGATCTCTCTAGGCTAGCTCGGGGTCTGGCAGCACCTGTTAACTACCGAGACCTGAAAAAAACAGGACCCTTCGGCCAGTCCGAGAACGGAACCGCCCATATATATCCAGCTAGCGATTCTAGATCAGAGTTTAGATCTAGATCAGAAACAAACTAATGAAAAGGGCTTTTCTGGGACCCACGGAAAATGAGTACCCCTATAATTTCAAACCCCACTGTATATTACACCTGGCTTGCATGCCCAGAGGTTGCCCCGGTAATGAAAGCACTTTATCCATCGCCAATAAAATCAGCAAACCGGCTCAAAGAACAGAACAGCAGATCCTTCCCCACAGCATTTAAGTCATCAGTTTTACAGGTTGAGAGGCCACTTTCCTGCTTTCACTCAGCATCAAGAACGCTGCATATCCACTGCGGGCAGAAGTTCACCAAAATCCTTCTCCGTTTTCAAATCAAGCCCGTTCGGGAGGGAAGCAAGGAGCACAGGCATGTACCTGCGTGCCCACACAGCCACAAGATTTAGCAAAACTCACACTTGTTTACTCAGGAAGTGCTGTAAAACTACCGCCCACCTACCTCTAAACAGCGTCTGCTCTCGGGGGCCCTCAACAAGGCAAGGCTGCCTGCTGGTACCAGAGACGCTTCTTTTTTCTCGTTTTCTGTTCCAGCCCCCCTACACACACCCCCACCACCCCTCTTTCCTAGGCTATGCTGAGGCAGGGATACTCCTGGCGAGTTTGTGAGGTCAGCATTTTATTAGTTTGGCTCTGAATGGCTGCGAGTCAGAGAGAGAGAGTGAGAGAGAGAGAGAGATATTGGGAGGGGTACTGTGTCCATGTGCGTTATCAGTCAGTTCAGCTTGAAATGTGTGTGTGTGTTGGGGGGGGTTGGGGCATATGGGAGCAAACCAGCACCATCTAGAGGCCGTCGTTTGTACAACAAGTCAAACTAACACAAGCACTTTCCTCCACTGGAAAACCAGTGATCCTAAACCTAATGAACTAATCCTGCTGCTCGCCAATTTAAACAATAAGGACAAGCTGTCCTGGTAATGCAGTACATTGCACTAGTGCAGATGTTCCCAATTCTGGGCCTTGGTGCTGGTTTTCATTGCAGCCAAGCTCTTCACTTCACTGGATCTTTAACTGAGCCAACAAGTTGCCTGGTAAGAACCTTGGCAAGATTTATGCAATCGACATAAAAAGCTGGAGACTTTAAGTGACGTAACAAACGATATTTAAAAATGCTAACCCCTAGGTGTTTAGGATCTAAAAACAAAACGTCCCCAGTGGTAAGATCTGTTAAGGGGACAGTGATGGAAGTGGACCAGCAGGTGTGTGCATGAGTGCATGGGCCACCAGCACCAGGACTGTGCTCCCATCAGCCGATTCTGCCCTGCAGTTCTCAGTAGGGAGACCTGCACTGTAATCCTGCCACGTGCTCGTTACTATTGTCTTGTTCTACTGTAGTCCTTCCTGTGGGTTTTTTTTTATCGCACGGTACATCACACTACCACACAGCTCTTGCACTGAACACATTCCAGTAGCCCTGAAAGCACTCAGAGAGTAGGGCCCCTGGGTGCAGGTGTCAGGTAAAGAAGGCACACAAACGACAGGAATAGGCCATAGGTCAAGCTATATTGATCCGCCCAGCAAACTTCAGTGAGCCTGTTAAGCAGTAAAGAATTAAGCCTCTGATAAATACTCACCTTTGAGCTAGGCCCAGCTGACTACAATTAAACTTCAAGGTGCGACTGCTTGCTCACACAAATCTATATACGGCAGAGAGATAAGACGTCTGCAGCCTTGTTTCCATCTGAACATCAGATCTAATGCAACTCCTCCCTTTCCCCTTGGCTCCCAGCCCATGGGCGGCTTGTGTTGTTTTCATACTTCCTGTGCGTCTGCTGCACGCAACTCCAATCACAGGGTCCCCCTAACCACCCACTCCCCCCACAGTTTACCAGCACCTTCACCCTTAATCTCCTCAGTCACCGGAGCCCTGAGTCACTCAGGCAGTCTTTCCTGGGCTGGTTAGGGATACAGTGGGAAAGACAAGGGCATCATCGCTCTGCGCTACAGCACGGCAGAGAAAACACACTTCTTACCTTCAAAACGGCCTCTGCTTGCCCCGTGCTGCCTCCTCTTCCTCCTTCTCCTCTTCCTGATGCACCCCCGAAGCTGAGCGATCCCACAGAGTGTGCTCCCTGCTCCCAGTAGCTTCCACGTCTCCCAGCT